CAAACACTTCACTAAGGAATTCCTAAACTTCATTAACTACTGCTTTTCTGAAAGGACTCAGTTCTTACATACTCACCGAACAAATATTTATTGAGTGTCTGTTATGCACCATATATTCTGCTAGGACGATCTTGTTTTACACTTTAAAGGATGTAATAAATATACAAGAGATTTGAGAAGGGTTACGTGCAATAAAACCTGTGGGTTGATTATTCCCTCTCTGTTCCCAGCATTTCAGCTTGTGATAACCACTTCACCACGTCAGCTTTTACATTGTGTCCAATAAACAGCTTGTCATAGGGGTCATGGCTCAGTTGGGAACTGCCCAGCAGTCCCACTTGATATTTCTTAGAAATTACACCTCCTACTTTTCACATTTCATATCATACCCCCAAATTAAGTTAGGTTTTTTAAGATTCCTGTTTATCATTTCCACATTGTTTAAAGGAGGATTATTCAGCGTGGTTTTGTATCCTGCTTTTCTTTTTTTATTCATACATAACAGATGTGCATATTTTGGGGGTACATGGGACATTTTAATTCATATAATGTATAAAAATCAAATCAGTGTGATTGGGTGATCCGTTGCCTTAAATATTCATCTTTTCATTCTGCTAGAAATATTCAAATTATTTTCTTCTGGCAACTTTGAAATATACAATAGATTATTGTTAACTACAGTCATGTTACTGATCTGTCAAGCACTAGGTCTTATTTCTTCTATCAAACTGTATATTTTTACCTATTAATCAACTTTTCTTCATTCCTCTGCCGTTTCTTGACCTCTAGTAACCACCCCATCTACTCTCTGTCTTCATGAGACCCACTTTTCTAGCTCTCACATAAAAGTGAGAACATGCGATGTCTGTCTTTCTATGCCTGGCTTATTTCACTTAACATAATGACTCCATTTCCATTCACATTGCTACAAAAGACAGGATTTCCTTCTTCTTTATGGTTGAATAATGTTTTGTTGCATATATATGCCACATTTTCTTTATCCATTCATCTGGTTGGTGGGCACTTAGGTTGATTCCATATTTTGGCTATTGTGAATAGTGCTGCAGTAAACATGAGAGTGCAGACAGCTCTTCAACATACTGATTTTATTTCTTTTGGACACATGCCCAGTAGTGAAACTGCTGAATCATATGGCAGTCCTATTTTTAGTTTTCTGAGGAACCTCCTCGCTATTTTCCGTAGTGTCTATGCTAGTTTACATTCCCACCAACAGTGTATAAAGGTTCCTCTTTCTCCATATCCATTATTCCCTGTCTTTTTGATAAAAGCTGTTTTAACTGGGGTGAGTTGCTATCTCATTGTGGTTTTGATTCACATTTCTCTGATGATTAATGATTGTTTGAGCGTTTTTTTCTTATACCTGTTGGTCACTGTATGTCTTCTGAGAAATGACTACTCAGATCTCTTGCCCATTTTTAAAATCAGATTATCTGGATTTTGTTTGTTTGTTTGTTTGCTATTGAGTTGTTTGAGCTCCTTATATATTCTGGTTATTAATCCCTTATCAGATGGATAGACCAAACTAAATTTTTTATCTTTTCCTGCTTTTTCTTGAAAGCAGGGAAATTATTATTATTATTTTTTGCCCTTGCTTAAGTTTAGATATTTTAATATCTTTCATCAAATATTATTTAAGCATGGAATATAAAGAATTAGGGTAATCACTCTGTGGTTCTTCCCATGTATACATGTTAAATAAATTTGTATGCTTTTTCTCAAATTAACCTGAAAAACAAATGTACTTCCCTGGTGGACATTATAGTTTTGGCGGAATTGGTGCCACAAGACAAGGTGGCAGGTATATAATAAAATGGCAAAGTGCAGACATGGTAGAGTAGGCACAGGAAGTCAATGAGGGCTTCTGTTGTCAGAGAAAGTCCTATAGAGAAGGCAAGATTTCAGCTCATCTTTAAGAATAGATTGGGTTTAGCTGGAGAAGGTGCAAGGAAAGGGGGTTTCTTCTGAAAGGCACAGTATAGCAGATGTGCAGAGATGAAAACAAGTGTCATCAGCTCAAAGGGCTCCAAGTGACTCGGATGTCAACCTGGCTGATGCAGATCTGTGGTAAAGAATACTGGAAAGGAAGGTGGCTGGGAATCATGAGGTAAGGCAATGGAGAGCCCTGAGGACCAGCCTGAGGACTCTGGGCTGACATTTCCTGAGCAGTGGGGAGGTAGTGTGTGGTGCTTCATCTGGCATGGTCTCTGGATGGGGAGAGATCGGAGGTGGGGACACTGATTAGAGACTGCAGATGACCAGATATGGGAATGACGGACTATGAGTGGCCAAAGGAGAGAAGGGAAAGGAATAACAGGTATTAATAATTCCAGAATTTTTGCTCTGGGTAATCGGGAATGACTGGAGGAATTCCCACCAATCGATGTTTTGTAGGAATTCTGCCTTTTAAGTGTCTTTCTTCCTTTTCCAATGGAAGTCTTTTCCTTCTTCTGTGTATGGAACCTGATAGTAAAAAAAAAGCATTTATCTTTCTATTTTCTAGCATTGCTTTCCTACAAAAAGTACTAAAATCCTGCCAATTATGAAATGGCCTATCTTTGGAGAGTAATCACAAAGAGTCAAAACACCTTGAAGATCTTATCAGCTTCCTGCTTTCCCTCTCTCACCAAAATTAAATCCCATGACTAGGAATGAAACAGCAAATATTTCAACTAGATGTATTCTGTTATAGACGTCTTTTCTCCCCTGTTTTTATTACCAGGCAGCGAGTTAGCAGTTAAGTTCTTGGGTCTATTTTCTTAACCTATTCACCCTAAACTGGAATTTTTGAGTTTATACTAAAAACAATAATATCCTACCCTTATTGTTGCCCGTTGTTGTTTAAATATTACCTTTATTCATGTTATCTCATTTGATTCTTTATCAAAAAACCATATGATTCAAACCTGGCACATATCATTATTCCCCTTTAATATATGAGCAAGTTGAGAATGAGAAATAACATGTTCATTTACATTGCCAACAAGTGTCATCCCTGGAAATAATGTCCAGGATCTGTTACTCATTTACATCCAATATACTAGAAGCTGTTACAGAGACAAAAAGAGTTCAGCATATTATCTTGAAAATCTTTTTATAAAATTGAGAAAATCAGGCATAAATATGTAAACAGTTAAATAACATTACATGGCTAAGAGTCGCACCAGATGGCAATAGAAGCCATGAGTCAGAAGGTTAATTACCATGTCATAATGTGATATACAAATATGGGAGGACTGTGCCCATTTCTGGGCTCTGTGTTTTAAGAGGGACACTGACAACATAGAGCTTACCCAGGTGAGACTCACTGGGAGTCCAAGGAGACTCAGAGATCAAAGATGAAGGGACAAGTATACAAACAAAGAGAAAACCCAGGGAGAGCATTATGCCCCTCCACTTATTGCAATGCCTGATATGTGAAAAGCTTATTCTCCTTGGTCCCAACAGTATGCCAGGGGCTAATGGACAGAAGTTACAGGAAGGAAGTGTCCAACTTCGTGTAAGGAAGGATGCTCCAACCACAGGAACAATAAAAAGTATACAGAACAAGCTGCCTAATGTGGTAATGAGCTTCCTATCCCTAAAGGTGATCCAGAATGGGTTAGGTGAACCCCGATTTAGGATGTTTTAGGGATAATACCTGTATCACATGCCTTCTGTGTGCTATCGAGTTTAGAACCAGCAAAATGGTATAACTGAGAGATGGCATGGTACAGGATTTAACAGCACAGTCTCTGGAGTCTATATGATGCTCAGTCTTGGAACTCAACCACCATATTATAAAGAAGCCAGGCCCCAAGGAGAAACCATTTGTAAGCCCCAGCTGAGGTATCAGCGGACAGTCAACGTCAACCTTGAGATGCATGAACATGCAAGCTTTCAAATAAGTCCAATGTTTCATTTTTTGGGCCACTCCATTTGATACCAAGTAGAGCAGGGATGAGATGCCCTGCCAAACCCCTCCCAAATTGCAGATTCATAAGCAAAATAAATGTTATCATTTTAAGCCACTAAGTTTGGGGGTGGTGAATTCTTCAGTGCTGGATAACTGAAATACAAAGTTTATGTGACATTCTGAGTTACCATTGGTCTTCACATCCATTAATAGGTGCTGAGTCAACTAGAAGGTGGTGTTACATGCAGAAAGGCAGTTGGGTGGGTTGTGCTGACGAGAGAAGAGAAGGCTTGGTGAAGCTATTGAGAGAACATGAATGGAAGATTAATGAGGAACTTTGGAGACACAGTGAAGGACTCATTGAACACTAGATCTTCACTGTGTCCATGCATTTGTCATGCCCTCCATCTCCTCTATAGTTTTGTGACTTTTCTAATTCTTCTTGAAGACGCAGCTAGATTGTGCAAATGCTAGGTCCTGTCAAGAAGGTAGAAGAAATCTTAAAGGTCTGTAGGCCTGCCGAGGCGGAGGGGGTGGTGGACTTAGGAAGCAAAACACCCAAGCGGACAGAATAAAATCAAAGAGACTCTCATATTACAGACCATGATACATTAGAATATCCACAATGTTAATATGGAAAGGAACCCAAGAGACTGTTTTCTAGATAAGGAAACCAAGATTAGGCACTTGGAAGGTAACTAAGTACTTACTGTAGAGTATAAACAGTACAATTGAACTTCAGAGGAGAGACACTAGGTTTGTTCAGAAAAATCTGAATGGGCGATGGACCTAAAAATGCTCTCTAGGCCTGGCGTGGTGGCTCACACCTGTAATACCAGCACTTTGGGAGGCCAAGGCAAGTGGATCACGAAGTCAGGAGATTGAGACTCTCCTGGCTAACACAGTGAAACTCCGTCTCTACTAAAAATACAAAAAATTATCCGGGCATGGTGGTGGGTGCCTGTAGTCCCAGCTACTCAGAAGACTGAGGCAGGAGAACGGCATGAACCCGGGAGGCAGAGCTTGCAGTGAGTCGAGATTGTGTCACTGCCCTCCAGCCTGGGCGACAGAGAGAGACCCCGGCACGAAAAGAAAAAAAAAAAGAAAAAAAAAAAAAAGGAAATGCTTTCTAGATGGGGAGACCAGGAAAATCAAGACAGAGTGGATATGATAATGTGCTCTTTTTGAGTCTAAGAAGGGAAAGGTATGGCAGTTCTTGAAGGTGAGAGCAGGGAATCAGGATGGAACTTTTATCGTCAATACCATAAAAAACAGTTGTCTCATTTTTGGAGGAAAAAAATACACTGAACACATAGAGAATCAGAGTGGGTGACCAGATCTCCAGCAAGCAGCTCATGACACATTAGAATGTCCATGATCTGCTGTCCTGGTGCTATGAATATAGGCAAGAGGAGGCAGGCAAAGGAAGAAACCAGGAGGCAGTTACCTGGCTTCCTTGTTGCTTTTCAGGCTACAGCAAATACATTTCTAAATTAAGACGCAGTGCTGGAAATCTGGGCTCCAATCCTCTGAGCGGCGTTTCTGATGAGGGTAACTGAAGTCCCCACATTGCTCCATCTCTCCTCCTATTTCCTGCAGCACACAGCATTGATTATCCTCCTAAGAAAAGCCATTTCAGCATCTAGAGTGGAAGAGGAGAGGATTAATCATAGTGAAATTTGACAAGGCAGAAGCCTCCACGGGCCCACTTGAACCATTTAAAGCTTTTATGTCCCCTCTAGACTTGCACAAGTGCATGTACATCAGGATCATAAAAGAGGGGAGACGCTTATTTAGAAAGCAATAATAGCTCAGGACTGGCCTTTCTTTTGTGTCTCTTCTTAGCCCCGGCTGTCTAAATCAAGTCATCTCAGCTGTCAGTATTGTTTTATTCCTCATTTTAGGAGATACTACAAAAATGTCAGTTCACCTGGAAGTTGTGCCCAGAGCATTTAATTGGATTTAAATTAAAATGAAACAGAGACACCAATGTGGTTTTAATTCTGGCAGTTATTATAATAGATAAGGATTCTAGGAAAAAATAATGTCAAGTCTAGGTGAAATTGTTTGGCTACAAAATGGACCCAGGGGATTTTTTTTTTTTTTTTTTTTTTTTTTGAAAAGAGAAAGGGGACATGTTCTTACTGTAACTGTATTTAACATTCAGTGTAGGGTGCAAAGCTCTCCACCTTTTCTCTGCTTGCTAAGACAAGTGGATGTATCTTAGAACCGGGGACTGGAAGGGACATGAAAACATCATCTACGTAATTTCTCTGCTGTCAGAGAAATCATTCTATATGTATCAAATATCTCTTGTTTGTAACTTATACTCCTCTAAATAGCTCCTGAGGGAGCTATTTAGAATTAATTCATCACAATAAAAAAATTGTCTTTGTGCAAGCTTTCATATTTTAGTTTTAGACTCTTCCATTTTCAATCCTTTATGAAAAGACACAATAGTGGGTTATTATCTTCCTGATAAAAAGCCTTCACATTGTTAATCTCTTTTTCCTAAAATACGTTTGTTTCTGAAATATTTCCTCATATGCTCTATTTTCCTGCACCTAAATAATATGTTCCTCAAGTTAATTGCTCTTCTTTAGTTATAAAATCCCAACTGGATTCCATCTAATCATCTAATAATTCCTACACTTATGCCTCCAGGACCACACTAGCTTTTTAAACCACAGCACAGTGAAAGCTGGTGGTCATTTGCTGTCTCATTTTCCTACCAAAATTGTATGCAACTGTTCTGTCTTTCCCAAGAACTGTCCTTTGCCAAGTATTTCTTTAATGGACTGTGATTAAATGGTTTTAACTGATTGTTCAATGAATATGTGGGGCCCATTTAAAAAAAAAAAAAAAGTAGAAAACACGTGGATTTAAAAAAAGAGAGGATATACAATGAAAAGTTCTCTTCCAGCCTCTGTGCCAGTCATGCGCTCCCCACAACCCTTTCGGGTCTAACCCCATTTCTGCTGCCTATGTATTCACGAAGAGAGATCATGTATATAAAAATAAATGCATGTAATGTATTTAATACAATTGGCAGCATGTTTTAGCACTGCTCTGTATCTTTTTTAAATTTTAATAATATACCTTGGGGATCTTTCCACTTGGTACACACGAATCTCCTTTATTCTATTTTCTTTTACTTATATTTTTTTCAGTAGACTAGCAGTCTACTAACTGGATGTAACATCACATATTTATTGCAAACCTTTCTGAATACGGATTTCATTCTCCAAAGCATCCTCTACCAGCTTAAGACTGTGGAAGACTCACCAGCACACTTCACTGTGCAACTGTTTGCAGAATGCTTACTATCAGCACAGCACTGGGCTTGGTGCGACAGGGAATATAAGAAGCAGTGAGTTTGGCAGCCTCTGCTCCCTAGGAAACTATAGCCCCATCAGGGAGAAAATACATGAGAATAAGGGGTCCTGATTGCCAAATCTATCCCCCTAAGATTTTCCTTTGTTTTCTTGCATATCAGACATTTTTCCTAATACATAGTACAAGTGGCCTTTCCCCTTTATTGGATATGTGTATGGTGGTTTGTGTGCCTGGTCCTGCTTTTATACTGGGAGCCACAAGAACAGGACTGTCAAACTCAAATACCTACAGAGGCCAGGAAGGTGACCTAAATGAGTGAAGGGCAGTGAAATGAGCCAGTTGGGAAGGCATAAGCTCTGTTTAAAGAGATCCCCCAGCTGCTACAGTGCTCGATTATTTCTCTGTGAATAACCAGATCTTCTGGTTGATTAAAAGGAACCAGTGGGTAACAGGTACATGGGACTTTTCTGCATTATTTCTTACAACGCATGTGGGTCTATAATTGTCTCAAAATAAAAAATTTAATTTTAAAGAAAATCAGATAACTAGATCATTGTGTGAAATTTCCTGATTTATAAATGTAGGTGAAATCTGAGCATTGTGCAGGCACAGCAAAACTCATCTATCTGTAAGCCAAATGCAGCCTTGGGTCCACCATTTTGCTCTCTGCGTATAGCTGAATCATTATAATTTAATTTGTAGAAAACCCAAGGCAACCCAATGCACGAGTTTATTTTAAAAATACTTGCTACTGCGAGTTTCCATTACTTCTGACACTAGCCATCCTCACTTACTTGTTGAGTTTCTCTCTCATTCCAGGTCCTTGGATGCGGGTCTGTTGCCCAAGCTATTCTCAGTCGAGGAAGTTTTGGAGGGATCATCACTATCAATGTTGGATTTTCAATGGCAGTTGCAATGGCCATTTATGTGACTGGTGGTGTCTCTGGTAAGCAGTAGAAATAATGAATGCTGCTATTAATTCAACCACTCCAATGTGCCAGCACAGTGCTGGGTGCTTCACATTCCTTAATTTATTTATATCTTAAAAATCCTGCAAAACTGTGTATTGGATCCCATTTTTATAGGTAAAATTAAATTTTTATAGATAAAATTAAAATCATCAACCAATGGTAAGTAACTTATGCAAAGGCAACATTTAACAAGAGACAGAAATGGGGGTTAGAGCTCATAAAGGATTCATTCCTAAGTCTGGCTGCTGCATCTTATTCTCCACCAGCCAATGGGATTTTTTACTTGCTCTAGCCCACATTTGGAATCCAACTCCCAGATACCCTGTGAATAGCTCAGTGAAGGTCACTCCAACAGAGGCAAGTCCTGGACCTTTATCTATAGCAAACAGGAAGAGTCTGGGTCTCTTGCAAAATGGATGGTGCTTTCACGGGCATGCAGATCTGATCCACAAGGTCTTAGTCTAATCCTGCCCTGAGGAGTAAACTGATTAGAAGCCATTCACATGGTTCTCAGAAACAAAATGAAATGATGATAATTTAATGCAGTCTAGGGACTTAGAAGTGACTGTGGAAATGATCTGGTTACCAAAGACACTCAGAATCTTTCAGCAGCCTGGTGTGGGTCCTGAGAGCATTGAGTCAAGACTTGGTGATAAGAGAAGAAAGTGAACTGAGAAACTATGCATGCTGAGCACTGTGCTAAACGCCAGACTCTCTTTATCTCCCTCTCCTTTACAACAGCACTCTGAGGCGGGTATTACTGTCTCCATTCTACAAGGAAATCCCTACTGAGAGGGAGTCAGTAAATAACTGGAAACCCTGCAGCTGGTAAAGAGGCAGAGCCAAGATTTGGCCCAGGTTCACATGATCTGCGTGACAGTGAAGCGCACATCCTCATTTTTTGTTTGTTTGTTTGTTTTGTTTTCTTTTAGAAGGAGTCACGCTTTTATCCCTCAGGCTGGAACACAGTGGCTCAATCTTGGTTCACTGCAACCTACACCTCCCGGATTCAAGCGATTCTCCTGCCTCAGCCTCCCGAGTAGCTGGGATTACAGGCATGCACCACCACACCTGGCTAATTATTTTGTATTTTTAGTAGAGACAGGGTTTCACCATGTTGGCCATGCTGGTCTCGAACTCCTGACCTCAGGTGATCCACCTGCCTCAGCCTCCCAGAGTGCTGGGATTACAAGTGTAAGCCACTGCACCCTGCCTGTTTTTTGTTTTTTTAAGACAGAGTCTCACTGTGTTGCCCAGGCTGGAGTGTGGTGGTGGGATTACAGCTCACTGCCGCCTTGACCTCCCAGGCTCAAGCAATTCTACCTTCGGCCACCTCAGTCTTCCGAGTAGCTAGGACTACAGGCACGAGCCACTACAGCCAGCTAATTTTTGTATTTTTTGTAGAGACCGTGTCTTGCCATGTTGCCCAGTCTGGTCTTGAACTCCTGGACTCAAGTGATCCACTTGCCTCAGCCTCCCAAAGTGCTAGGATTACAGGGATGAGCCACCACACCCAGCCAACACATCCCCATTCTTACACAGCATTTCCAATGCTCTATTATGAGAAGGGCATTACAAGCAGGTTAGTTGGGCAGAGGACCCTGCAGTTAAGCTGGCTGGCCTGGTAACAAACACTGCCTTTGTAGCACTGAAGAACAATTGCTTAGACTCCCTGGGAGCTCCTTGGGCTGTGCACCTGGAATGGCCATTGACGGGCTAGCACCCTTTCCATATTACAGCCAGACTCAGATCCAAAGGCGGTCCAGGTTATGACAGAGTCCCACTCTGTTGCCCAGACTGAACTGTGGCAGTGGGATCATAGCTCACTGCAGCCTTGACCTCCCAGATTCCTATATATGTGATTTGTTAGCATGCACAGTGTCTTCATTCAAACTCTTGTCCAGTTTTTGCTGTGATCCCAGCACTGTACTGCTTACTTCAAGGCAAACTCCAAGAAGGGCACAAGAAAAACCAGGGGACTGCCCCAAATATGCCAAGGCTTAACTGCTTCCCCTATAAGCTACCACTGCGTTCACCAGGTAATGTAGATGTAGCCGTATTTTCAGCCGTTTTTTAGGTAGAGACATAGTTTTGGAGTATTTGGCCTGCGTAACACCCTGACCTGAACATCAAGTAGATACTTAGAATTAGTTGGCCCCAGACCCTACCACTGTTGTTAACACCCGTCACCACTGCAATCCACATCTGTTTGTGTCCATTGATATACCTGGGGATTTCTGCAGTCACTGTAGAAGGGAAAAAGGGAAAGAACCAGCAGGAAGAAGGAGTGAAGAAATGGTGTGAAGTCTTCTGTGGCCCCTAAACTGGGGTTGAGTCCCTAGAGTTAGAAGAGTAAGGGCCAAAACTGATGGGACTTCTTTCAGCAGAAGCTGTGCTTCTGGGTGAGAGTCAGGACCTGACCAAAATGTTTATGAGCAACTATGAGACCCTAAAATACAAATAGAGTGGTGTCTGAGACTGGCTGGAAAATGATAACATTGGCCTGGAAAGGCAGTCCTTACCATTCTATCTCTGGAATCTAGCACAGTTCAGGCTCCTTGAGAACTGGTGGCTTTTGGGAACATTTTGGGAACATGCAGCACAACACACTGGCCCATCATGACATCTGTGTGGACAACAGCATCAGTATCAGCTTCAGCAGGTGCAGGAACAGCAGAGGATTGTGTGTGTGAGGTGACTTTCTCACTGTGGCTGCAGCTAACTTACTGGTTTGTGGGCACATACTGGTTTGTAAGATCTGCTTGAAAATTCCAAAAGTAACCAATTTATACTGGGCATAAATATAAATGGGATCCCATTTTGTGGTCACCGACTAGTGAGGTCAGCAGATATTTGTCTTTTAAATATAAAACATCACCTTATTGTAAAGAAGTTACAGCATCCTGCTCCCCTGGGAATGTTCCAGTCAAATCCAGTCAATCAGAGGTCATAATACCCTAATTATGTAGCATCCTGCACAAAGCATTTAGGCTAATGGTAATTGCTCTTGATGTAGCATTTTATGACTAAAATAAACTTATTGAAAAAGCAAATAGCCTTGTTTTCACAACAAACAAAATAGAGGGTTATCTTGATCACAGGATTGTGTATGGGTGGTAAGAAGGAGAGGATTTGCATAGAATAGAACATTGAAGGGGTTCCCTCTGCTCACCTAAGACTTTCATCTTGTGCCCTGTGGGCTCCAGCTGTGCCCGCAGGCCCTTTATATGAATAATCTGATTGTCCCAGCAAGCTTGGCAAAGCCAAGAGTTGAGTGCACTGACTCTAGTTCTCATGTTCTTTCCAATACACTGCTCTGCCTTGTCCTTGTGATAAGTCAGGGTGACCACTCATCTCTACAGGGAGAAATTTCTAGCAGCCACTTGGCCTCTAACCAGAGGCATCAGGGTGCCACTTGTCCACCTCTCTTTCTGAACCTTTCTGCCTCCTTCCCAGCCCTTTTCCTCATTGCTTTGCAAAGCACCCTTCCAGACATACCCTTTCTGATCCCCAAGCAACTTTTTTTCTTCTGTAGATCTCTGTAGTCTGAGCTATCTAAATAAGGCCTCTGATTATTTCTTCAACCTTTTTTTTCGTTTGTTTTAATGGAGTCTCACTCTGTTGCCAGGCTGGAGTGCAGTGGCACAATCTCGGAGCATTGCAACCTCTGCCTCCCAGGTTCAAGCGATTCTCCTGCCTCAGCCTCCCAAGTAGCTGGGACTACAGGTGGTAGAGGCTTCTAGAAACAAGTGCACCTTTTGGTTCCGTGTAGGATCAGCATCATCATTATCACCACCATCGTCTCTCCTTTGTTTACAACTAAGTCCACAGCCTGAAAGTCCACATCTCAATGTGGTGTCTCTGATTCCCCCGCCACACAAAATGTCATCTGTCTTCCTCAAATGAACATCTGTTTTCACTAGAAAGTGAGCCTATATGTTCAGATAATTTTAAAAAATTCTTTATTTATTTTTCTGCCCACAAAAGCAGAGAAGCCTTTATAAACACGGTGACGATGGTCTGGAAGTGGTATAGCAGAGAACATAGGCTCTAGAATTCAGATAAACCTGAATTTGAATCCTGGTTCTTCCACTTACTGATCATGTAGCCTTAAGAAACTTACTTTACATCCATGCCTCAGTTTTCTCATCTGTTAACTGGAGTAGTACCCATCTCATTGGGTTCTTAAGAGGATCAAATGCACCTACTACCCCTACAATAGTGTCTGGCAAGTATTTGATAAATGCTGCTCTTGTTGTTACTAGCAAAGCCAGCTGGAAATGTTAGAGACCAACCACAGAGCAAACTCTCTATTTGATTTTATGGCTGGATGCAAGTCAAGGAAGCTGATTTCTCTAGCTGGAGCTTGGGCTGGGCTCAGGAAACGGTTGCTACTTTTCTGTGTATGACAGAAATGCATTGTTTATGCAGAGGAACTGAGAATTAGCCACTCAAACTCTGTGACCACCTCAAAATCAACTATGCCCCCACCCTCAGCAACCCATGGTCATTTTCCCTTAAAGATACATCTCTTTTGAGCTTGTTTTTATATCCTCTGGTCATGGCCTGAGAAATTGCTAGATATAGATTTAAATCCTATACATATATTGGATAAGCATATTGACTTTTGAAAGATATTGAAGTTAATACCTACATCAATCTGTTTGAGGTGATTGCTTTATAAACAGAGGGATACAACCCTATTAATAAAGAGCCACTTGAGCACATCAAGTTTCTTTTTATACCTGACTCTCTTTTCATCAAGATAAACATTCTAAACAGTTATCCAAGGATGCCATGAAAATGATCAGTCCTCCCTCTCTCCCTGCTCAGATACACACACTCTCTCTGTTTCATGTGCATACACACCCCTGTTTCTGCTCACAGGCAGTAGTTCCCTACCTAGAAGACTGAATTCCACCTGAGATCTCTAGGTGGTTTTCTGTATATTCTTCATCTTGACCTGCCTTCT